CCAAGAGACTCATATAATGGTACAAGATCCCAATGATGAATGTAACTGTATTTTATACCGAAAATGTACCAATAAACTTAATGGGGAAAAAAAAATGTAATAAATAAATAAATAATAAAGTTTATAAATTAGGCATAATAAGAGATTGACAATAAAATAGAACAACAGTAAGAATATGCTGATACTGTTACAGTTGATCGATACCTCAGATGGCTACTGAATAACAGGCACGTAGCATATACAGTGTGGATACACTAGACAAGGGAATTATTCATATCCCATGCTGTGTTCTACCCAGCTCCAATGAGTGCCATTCGCATAGACTCATAGGTCTGGATGCAACACATACACACACACACACACACACACACACACACACACACACAGATTTTGGAACACCTACTATAATCAACAAGATAGGAAATGAATTTATTTTAATTTCAACATGAATTTGACCTGATATCTGATTTTATTTTGTAAGGTATGTAAATCAGGAGCTGGCAAAATAGGGCTCACTGGCCCAATGTGATCCACTGACAATTTGTATAAAGTTTTATTGGAACAAAGCCATGCTTATTTGTCTATGGCCGCCTTTCTGCTACAACAGGGATGAGAAGTTGTGAGACAGTATGACTTGCAAAGCCTTCAGTATTTACTGTTTTCCCTGTAGGGAAGGCAAAATCTTCTTTATAATCTAAAGCATAGGACATACTTATCTACTTTGTTAAAGGAGAAACATGTCTCATTGCTTCTGAGTTTTAACTAATGCCCAGTAATTATGTCTACCCACATGGGAGGGTGCTAGCTGCTACAATTATAGACAATTAGAAACAATTACAGTGTTATAGAATGATTTTATTAGAGGTATGGAAATAGATTGATTGCATGAGAAGAAAAATTATAGGGCTCAATTATTTATACCTATAAAAAATCTAGAGGCCCTTCTCCAGATGTTATATCTTCACATATGTAGAATAGAATTCACTTAAGTCCAATTAAGTAGCCTCTGTCTCCAAGCCCCAGATGTTTACACTCATCCTAGAGTCCCCTCATCTAGTGTTGCACACTGAAAGCAAATAAAATCCTTTTCCAAACAGGCTGGTTGCTTCATCTCAGCCCAGCACCAGGCTCATCCCCAAGATCATCCTCTGTCCCCAAAGCCTTAGAAGCCACACACCATCCAACACCAGGCCCCAGAGAAGTGACTGCAGTGTGCCAACATGCAAAAGCACTCGGTCCACCCAGTGAAGGGATTGGGGTAGAACATAGAACAAATGTCATGGGGAGAAGGGTAGCTGATCGGACTTTTCTCAGTATTGAGTATTTGGCGACATTTTTCTTCTTTTTTCTTTTGTTTCTATTTTGGCAAATATTGAGTGAACTGATGCTATGTGGAGGAGCAGGTCTGCTGTTGTCAGGGAAAAGCCCAGGTGATTTTGCCTGTCTCTGTCTCCCTCACTGCCCTAGGGGAGGTGGACTGTAAAGAAATCGGAGACTGCGTCCCAGGACCAGGAGCCGCGTCCACAGACCTGTGCCTGCCCGCCCTGGATTACCTCAGGCGCTGTTCACAGGTACAGAGAGAGGCCCACACTCAGCTCCAAGCCCCAAACCTGCCTCAGAGGATGTTCCTGGAACACGAGCCGGGTCTCCTGCTGAAGCCCAGGAGAGTCATTTTCTGCTATTTATGAGGAGATTAACACTTTGACTTGATGTATATTTTCCATAAAGAAAAACTAATAATGATAATAGACTAGGACACATGATTAGGCCCACACAGCGCTGAGACTTCTCATTCCACTCAGACCTATGAATTACCACAATCTTTTTCTTTGCCTGAGCTTGCTGGGGAGGGATCATGAGGTCATGGGCAGGGTTCCTGCTGATACTAGAAAGCGGGTAGTGGGATTCTGTAGAAAGGAACATGTCCAGTTAAGATCTAGTAAAGAAATCCAACACTTACCAATGTGAACAACGACCTTCAGGACAAAGTGTTGGATTTGCTTTGTTCTTATCTGCCTCAAATACTGAACAAGCAAGACAGTGCTCCCTCCGCTTGGGGTCAGTAACAGTCTTTCTCAGAGGTCTTTGTTATCTTCTTGGGCTGTGTCCCAGGCCTCTTCTGGCCTCTGTCTAGCCCTATGTCCGTGGTGACATTGAGTCCCAAGACTTTAGGAAGGACAGGTGGCCCTGACTGCTTCCTCCGGCTGTCTCCACCAGGCCCCATGATACCCTTCCACCCTCAGTTTTCCCTCTCACTCAAGGGCTCCAGCCACACCGACTTCCTGCCCCATGCTTATCACTGCCAGGGCCACTGCTGTGCTCATTGCCTGGAGTCCCTGCCCCAAATCCCCAGACACCATGCCGTATCTTCCGGGTTATGCTAGAAATGTCTCCTCCTCAGAGAGACCAGGCTACAGGACCTACCACCTCCCTGCCAGCATACCACAGTCACCTACTTGTGTACCTGTTTAGTTTTTCCTGTAGCTTTTATGTCAGAAATTTTAATTTTGTGAAAGGATAGTGGTTTATAAGACCCATGGGGACAGGAATTTCATCTGTCTTGCTCTCAGCCATTTCCCTGGTTTCTAGAACAATGTGGATGTGGCAGGCATCATTTTATGCCATAAAGCTATAAGGAATCTTGGGCTGGGGGCTCTGTAGCATTGAGAGGGGAATAAAGAACGCATGCCACCCTGCTACTGAGACCTCCGTGTCTCCCATCTTGCCTGCCCATTTCTCCAGTTACTCTTGCGCCTCTGTTTCCTTAGAGATTGGCTCAGGAAAGGGGAAGCCAGACCCTGACAATGCATTCGTCTCAGGGATTCCCCATAGGCAAAAGTTCTTGACATGTCCATGGCTCCCTTGGTAGGGTGTAGAAAGCTTATAAAACTCATGTAACTAAGGTCCTGAAAAAGCATCCACAACCTTTTTCTCACCATTGAGTCCTGTTTCATCTGCTCTGTGCAATGTCTGTCATTTGTAAGCTACCTTATAAATCCAAGTCACAAATGATTAACTTTTAAACTTTCATACACTGGCGCTTTTCTGGTTTCCCTGGTCCCCTGCACTGGTGCATAGTTTTATTGTCCTCTAACACCCAGAGTGCAGCTTTTTCCATATAACTGCAGTATTAGGGGTTTTTTTTGTACTTTTAGTTATTGGCCAAGATCTACAAAATGCCCTTGAAGCCAATATTCCTTAGTGGACGACTTGCCAGCTTGCCTCGAAGGCTTCAGGAGCAGTCGGCGAGCAGTGAGGATGGGATCGAATCAGTCCTGGCTGATTTTGATGATGACACCGGTGAGTTAACTGATTTGATTAAACCAGGTTTGCTATGGTCACAGCCCCAGAATCTTAAGCCTTAAATTAAATAGCTCACAGTTCATAAAAGTAACCATTCTTTTTTATTTTTATAACCAATTTAGCTAAAGTTTTACCAGGGACTTTCCAAAAACATCACTTTATAAAGCAATACATCTAAACCTAAGCTTTTTGATGTACTTTTCCAGAGTTCACTAATATAGTTTCAAACTCTGAATTATTAAGAATCTAGCAAATTGGAATGAAGTTACTTTATGCATTGGTACCTAAATTGGCTAGTAATTGTCTTTAATCGCATTTAGCAAACACAAAGATCATGTATTTACTTCTTACAGGACTACTTACTTGGTCAGAGACGAGAGACATTAACCCATTACAGAAGAGAGGGATGTATGACTAGTGAAGCTGAAAGCTTGGGAAAAGAATAATTTTAAAGAATTTGTTTTAAATTAGGATCCCTGTAATCTCATGAATCAGGGTTTAATCTGCTTTGAGTAATTTTCAGGCTGTCTTTAGATAAGAATAATTTTTACTTAGCATTTGAAACCTCATATAATTATAAGCAGAAGCTAGTGTTGATTATCTGTAATATATTCTTGTAAAACAGTTATAAATGCTTATGTATTGGAGTGAGCATTTCTTCCTTATTTGTACAAAACATTAACCTATTTTTTTCTAGAAGGCATATTTGTCAATTCAGTTCAGCCAAGCCCCTATCTAAAATTTCCCGCCTTAGCAATTCATCAAGGAGTTTAAAGATGTAATTATGTATGAAACATAGTAGATCAAAGAAAAGAATGAAAGCAAAAGCTCTAAGTTAGTATTCAAAACTAAACAAGGGCTGGGGATGTGGTTCAGAGGTAGAGCACTTGCCTAGGATCCACAAGGCCCTGGGTTCAATCCCCAGTACAACCAAAAGGAAAAAAAATACTGTAAACAATTCTCAACATTGATATAATTTCAGCTATTACTCCTCAGGCTTCCAAAGGCAAATGATTACTTTTTACCCTTTCTGGAAATTTGAAATGTATACAAAACTAGAAAGAATATATAAAAAAAAAACCACATTTTCAAAAAAAAAAATAAGACCTAACTGGAAAATAATCAGCCTTGAAAACTAGAGATCAAAAATGCCAGCCCCAATCAGCCTGTCCTTGTCTTCCCTGACTAGTGATGGCAGGTATGTACAGAATGTAGAAAACTAGACAGAATGGGGTCCCCTGCTTCTGGCTACTATCAATTTATGGACAATCTCAGACCATGTGGGTTTTTTTCCTCTCTCTGCCCCTCTTCCTTCCCTTTCTAAACCAGTTTTACATATAAATTATAGCATTTTACATATACAAGTATGTGTCCTTTAAAGATAATGTAGGGGACAGTGATCACCTCTATTTCCCCCCTTAGTCCTTCTTTGTGTGCTCTTTGGCTGGATCTAAAGGCCCGATTAATATAAGAGCTAATTAACACAAGAAAAGCAGATAGGCATGGTGGTACTCACCTGTGATCCCAGCACTCTGGGAGGCTGGGGCAGGAATTGCAAGTTTGAGGCAAACCTGGGTAATTTAGTGACTTAGCAATACTCTCTCAAAGAAAGAAAAAAGGAGGGGGCAGAAAGGAAGGAGACAGAAAAAGAGCTGGAGATGTAGCTTACGGTGAAGGCCTTGGGTTCAATCTCCAGGAAGGAAGGAAGAGGGGAGGGAAGGAGGGAAATGAAGGAAGGAAGCGAGGAGCATAAAAGTTCTATTATATTTATATGCACATGAGGATCTTCACGAGAGAGAGAACCCTGAAGAATGAACACAGCTTGATGCTTTTATACATCTTGGACAACACATAATAAATTTGTGAAGGAATGACAGGACAAATAGACCTCTGGGCTAGGGGAGTTAGCTCCAGGGATATTATTACTGAGAGGGATGGGGGCAGAGTAGACACTAGTGGGAGATGCAGATTCCTTCAACAAGTGTGTTTAGTCAGGCTCATTATACTTCCAATTACCAGCCTCTTGATCATGGTTTTCCTTTCTTCATAAGTGAAGGATATAGGAATCTGTGTTGTTGTGTTGCATGTAGGGAAAGACAGACCAAGTGGTCCCGTCTGAAATTACAATCCCTCAAGTGATTTGAGCTCGAAATGCCAAATACCAACGTGGTGGCGTGTTTTTGACTCCTTCCATAACAAGTATAATCACAACATTCTTCCTTACATGAAAATCAAAAATAATGGACAGTAGATTCGAGATCCCCAGGGGCTGGAGTGAGGGCAGGAGGGGAGCTGCTACTCAGTGGTTACAGAGTTTCTGGGTGAGGAGATGAAAAAGTTTTGGAAATAGTAACGAGGGTTGTGCAACAGTGTGCATGTCATGAACGCTACCCAATGGTACATATAAAAATGGCTACAATGGTATTTTGTTATATTTACTACAGTAAAATTTTTAAAAAGATTAAAGTGATAGAACTAAAAGAATATTCCGCCATTAACTCCCAAGAAATCTGACACCCCTTTCAACAGAGTTTACACATCATATCACCTTTTTATTAAAGGGAATAAGGAAGAACTTTGAGCGGTTGTTTCCCTCGCTCTGTTAGGACACGGAAGTCATAATCGGGCCATACCTCCGTTCTGAGGACTGACTTCCGGGTGATGTCACAGTCTGATCCACACAGTGTCTAATTGGGTCTTGCAACAGTTCTTCCCAGTGTTTGACTGGATTGCATACAGGTCTGCTTTCTGGTCTCCAGGTCTGATAGAAGTCTGGATCATCCTGTTGGAGCAGCTGACAGCAGCTGTGTCCAACTGTCCACGTCAGCACCAGCCGCCGACCTTGGATCTACTCTTTGAGCTGCTGCGAGATGTTACCAAAACACCCGGTAAATGGCGCTGTGTCTGATTAGCGGGAGAGTTACTATACATAAACCTTTTTTCCAGGAGAGCATTCCTGTGGATATCCACCTGTGTTCACTGTTTCCTAGACTTCATTCAGAGCTTCACACATCGGGGATGCTCAAGCAATGTTTGCTGCATAGCTGTGAAGGTCGAGCTATGTCCCTGTATTGTTGGTGTCTCTTCTTACCAGTCCACTTACCGATGTTGCTGGTCAGGTAGTTGGGCAGTGTTGGCACCCCACATTAATCGGGCTGAGGCTGGGCCCATCTGTCCCTGTGTCTCTATGCCAACTGGGTCGGCCATGTTCCATGGTCACAGTCTTCCTCCTCTTCCTCAGCCAAATCTACCAGGACAGGGTCTGGACCACAAGGCTGTCAGCAGGGCTCACAGGTCCCCCGCAGACAAACAAACCACTCACAGGCTCATGTCAGGGCGTCTTGATTGTAGAAAGGTCATGAATGATTAGAATTGGGGAAAAAAATTTAATACTTACCTAGTAGAACGAGTTAATCAAGTGTGGCATACATATTTCTTTATTCCAGTTTTCCCAAGGCCAATGAAACTTTTTATAGAAATGTTTTTACTAACAGAATCAGAATGCTAAATGAAACCACTAGTTCCACAGAGAGAAGAAGGGGTCTATGTTCCTCATTATGGTGCTTTGATAAATGATACTGTTTCAAAATCCATAGTGAAGTTTATATTGGAATTGTTTGAGAAAAAAAGCACAGTAGCTACTCTTACATGTTAGAAAGTTGGAAGCCTTCCACTGAAAAAAAAAGTATTTTATAGAATTAATTATATGCCACTATTTCTAAATCTGCTTCACTAGTAAGTGCCATTTTTCTGTTTTCACATTAATTGCCACTAAATGTGTATGAAGAGCATTTAACCTAATAATTGTCCTAATAATCTATCATCTATGAATAATAATGAATAAAAAATGTATATGTGTTTCTTGAAACATCTTGAATACTTTTAAAAAGTTATGAACACCTTCAATGGAAAGCAGCCAAGTAAATTATGGTAAAGAATATAAATATTTAGGCATTAAAATTAATGTTTATGAATAATACTTGATAGCAATTGTTTATAAGGCATTATGTTAAAGTTTGTGTACAATGGAGTGCAATCAACTATATAAATGAAATTTTATACATTTAAAAATACACATACCCATTCAAAAATTACTGGAAAGAAATACATCAAAGTGTGATTATGTCTGTGGGTAGGGGTTTTCCTTCTTTATAATAAACATATAAATTACCTGAGAATATAAGGGTACCTTGCTCTTAAAGTAAGAATTTAAAAACCTGTTAACTCCTATAAGGAAGCACAAGTATTTTCTTTATAGCATTATCTACAAGCAAAGCATTACATATCTTAAATGTCTATCAGTAAAGGAATGGATAATTGTTGCATACACATACAATAAAAATAGTATGTGGCAATAAAAATAAAGAATATCTAAATTTGGTGATCAACTGCAAAACCAGGTTTATATTACCCCATTTAGATAAAAGTAGCTTTAAAAACTTAAAGCCAGTGTGACAACATGCACACATAGTCCCAGCTACCGGGGAGGCTAAGGCAGGATTGCTTTAGCTCAGAAGTTCAGGACCAATCTAAGCAACATGGTGACAACCTGTCTGTTGATTGATGGGTTGAGCTGTATATTTTTTTATGTTCCATTTAAATGTATCATTTTTAAGGGATGTTTTCTTATAGGTATCTGTGTTTTTACAACTAATGACCAGGAGTTGATCAAGTGATATTTTAGCTTTATCAATACTTGATTTTTTTGTAAAAGTATGTTCATATATTACTTGTATAACTGAAATCATGCAGAAACAATAAAGAAAAATGCCACCAATATTCTCCAATCACAGCAAATTCTTTTTCCCAGAACCTTCTGTGGGAAAGAGGATATCTTTCAAGAGAGACCCGTGATGCCACACCATGGCAAAGAGCTTCCTTTTTGAGATTGAGATCACAGTTTGGACACTGACCTTTCTGTTTCAGGACCAGGGTTTGGAATCTATGCAGTTGTTCACCTTCTCCTTCCTGTGATGTCCCTGTGGCTCCGCCGTAGCCATAAAGACCATTCCTACTGGGATGTGGCCTCTGCCAACTTCAAGCATGCCATCGGCCTGTCGTGTGAGCTGGTGGTGGAGCACATCCAGAGCTTCCTGCACTCAGGTAGCCCTCGGGCCAGAGCGGGTCATTCTGGACATCACCATAATAGGCAGCATTGTTGGCTAAAAGTGCTTAAAGAATACTGCATGCAGAAACCATTGTCCTGGGAATTACTAAAATAGAATTACACAGCCAGTGCTAGCCATCTAGTAGTGTGTGTGTGTGTGTGTGTGTATTTTTTTTTTTTTTTTGGTACCAGGGATCGAACTCAGGACTTCCTGCTTGCAAGGCAGGTGGCAGAACCACTGAGCTAAATCCCCGGCCCTGTCTAGTAGTATATTACCAAAGGGAAAAGTAATATTCATGTGCCCTCTACAAGATTGTCACAATACTCTATACATATTGTTGAAAATAAAGTTCCTAATAAGCAGGTCTAGCATAGATCTCCATTAGGAGAGGAAAGTCAAGTTTAAGTACAGAATAAACTAAAGAATAAATATCACTGTAGCTGTGGAGTACAGAAGGGCTGTATCCTGCTGTCCTGCTTCACAGGAGGAGGCTAAGTGAGGAAGGTCGTGTTTTAGAAAAGGCTTCAGTTATGGGCAAGAAGTTGCTTAACAGGCTAAAGATGAAGAGAAAGTTTTAAGACCTGTGGCACCTTGAAAAAGATGTGGAAATGTGAGGTGGAGAGTATGTGGACATCAGATGCAGAAGGACAGAGAGGCAGGAAAACATGTCTGTTTTGGTACCAGTGGGTCTGCGCTTGTGAAGTGCACATTCTTAGTCATGATCTGCCCTGGGGGAATCTGGAGGTTGGGATCAGGAGAAACATGGCTGCTGGGCACGGAAGTTATAAATAGAAGAGAAGGACTTATGTCAGAGGAAGAGGTCCCTGGCCAGAGAGCAGAGAGAAACTAAGAACATTGACCTGGAGGGCAGTCACAAAGCAAAGATAAGGACCTGTCCCTCTACTAAGTGTAATAAGGACAAATTCGCCCTGTACCCAAAGACTGCTAAGGGAGAAAGGAATAAGTAGGTCACCAAGGCAGGTGGTGACTGTGGCGCTAGAGGTGGATGTTCTTGACCAGATCAGTGCTTCACACAGCAAAGGACTCTGGAGGGTTCTCTTGAAAATTGCTTGTGTGTTGTCACAAGGACCCAGGGAGAGAATGCAGATGCAGTCCTTAAATTAGGCAAATAGAATGCACTCTCTGGAAGCTTAATTTCCTCTAGTCAGTGCAGTCAGGAACCAGACTGAAGAGTGTGAAGAAGTGGTAGGACCGACTAGAGATTTTGTTTTCCAAGAGCATTTAATTTAATTTAATTTGGCTCCTAGTTGGAAGGAAAGTATGTTTTAATTTTCCTTTTTTTAAGAATTTAAATTTTTTTGAGCCGGGGATTTAGCTCAGTGGTTTCACCCCCTGCTGCTCAAGTGCAAGGACCTGAGTTTGATCCCCAGTACCAAAAAAAGAAAAGAATTTAAATTTTTTACCAACTAACATTTGGGCTATCTAATGTATTCCATTTGGTTTAAGTAGACAAATTATATGTTAAACTTTGGAAAACATATATCAACCTACAGAAGTCAGATGTTTCATCCTGCTGTCGAAGATATGGTTGAAACAGCTACAATTGGGTACAAATCCAACACACACTGTTTTCCTAGGGGCTTTGAGGGTATCATGATTTCCCTCAGTTCCCCCAGATATTTACATACTTTTGTCACTCAGACTCTCATCTTTTGCTATAGATGGCCATTTCCACCTATTCCTTCACACCAGAGCTAAGTGAGACCTTGTCTTTGCTTCTTCTGTAGACATCAGGTACGAGAGCATGATCAACACCATGCTGAAGGACCTCTTTGAGTTGCTGGTGGCCTGTGTGGCCAAGCCCACAGAGACCATCTCCAGAGTGGGCTGTTCCTGCATTAGGTGAGGAAAAAGCTTCCCTGGCTTTTCACAAAGTTGAATGTTTTACCATAAAATCCGAGGAAATTAGATTATCTTTTGCAGTAGCAAGCTACTTTTTGGCTTGCTTTTTATAAGTAAAAATGACCTCTGAATAAAAATGACTGTGTGCTATTAAGTCTTCATTTCAGTGTCCAATTAGCAAATATTTATTCCATAAGGCATTTTACACAGTACTCTAGGGCACAGAACATGATGTAAACTAAGAGCCCAATTCAAAATGATGTAACAGAGAGAGGATCACGTAAAAACGGCAGTCGGGGAGACTAACTGATAAATGCGAAGAAAGGACAGGAAGTGTGGGGAGTGGACAGTCAGCAGAAGCTTTGCTGTAGTAGGATGACACTTGGCAAGAAGCTCCAGGGTGATAACCCTTCGATAGATGGGGACTTCCCGAGCAGGCGAACAAAATGATCAAATGCAGGTAAGAATGGGAAATGACAGTAAGAAGGGTTTTGTTTTGTGTATATTATTTGAAGAACAACAGTGAAAATGGGGCTAGAATGGAGAAATCGGTACAGAACATATACAGTCACACATTCGAGTCTAAATTTGAACATTGACCTATTTGTAATGGAGACCCATTGCTATTTCTGCATTAACTAGTACCTTGACAGTGGAACATACCTGGACTGAAGGCAAAAGTGATAATCAGGGACAGAAGACACACAGGAAGCTGCAGAATATGATCGTGCATGAGTCTTCAAGGCCCTAAATTTTGAGGCACCAAAATGTATGGACTCAAGACTTGTTTCTTTTGGCAGGTACGTGCTGGTGACAGCGGGGCCCATGTTCACTGAGGAAATGTGGCGGCTTGCCTGCTGTGCCCTGCAGGAAGCCTTCTCCGCCACACTCAAACCAGTGAAGGTAGGCTGCTGGGAGGAAAGCACCCAAGCACATCTGTTCTTCCTTAGCCCCTGGTGCTCGTCAAGTCAGGCACCTGCCCTCTGCCTGCCTCCTCACCATGGGCAACCACACATGAAATCTTGGCATGGGTGGGGAGAAAGAAGTTGCTGGGTCAAGACTTTTGCCCTATGCATAGTGACAACACCGGATCCCGGGCTAGCCTGGCATCATGAATTAGGGTGCATCCTGTGAGCAGCACCTGTTTCTCCCTAGGACTTGCTGGGCTGCTTCCACAGTGGCACCGAGAGCTTCAGCGGGGAAGGCTGCCAGGTGCGGGTGGCGGCCCCATCCTCCTCCCCCAGTGCCGAGGCCGAGTACTGGCGCGTCAGAGCCATGGCCCAGCAGGTAAGGGCTGGAGGTGCATGCTGGGAGTCCTTCCTACAGGTGCTGGTCACCACTGCCTTTCCACCACATCCTGACACACAGCAAGTGTGCAGATGGCAATGGAACCCTCTTCTGATGTAGACTGGCAGTGGAGAAGAGGAGCAAAGAATCATTTTACGTCTCCGTATTGTTTCCTCTCTTTCTCGGTCCCAAACCTTCCTCCTATATTCATTCTAGAGTAACCTGCTAATTCTTAAAAGATTTGGAAAGAGATTTTCTTAAAAGTAATATAATATCCAGGGGTGGACAACAAGCCACTTCTCTGCTGGAAAACAGCTTCCAGAGATCCTAACCCTAGCCTCAGTAAAGAATTAAAGAAGCAGAGTTTAAAATAAAAGACGGTTTATTTGAAGGTGGAGAAAGGGGAAGAGAGAGATGGCGAACAGCTACTCTGGACAAGTAGGGAATATTTGAAAGTGAAATACGTGTGAGCTTTGGTCCCCAGCTTTTTTTTTTTTCCTGTACCAGGGATTGAACTTGGGACCTTGCACATGCAAGGCAGGTGCCAGAACCACTGAGCTGAATCCCCAGCCCCTGGTCCCCAGCTTCTTGTATTGGGCTCCTTCTCCCTGTGTAGGCGCCTGGAGTCTGGGTGGCTCCCTGGCTGTCTTTGCTGCTCCCCTTGGATTCCTTCTGGCCATCAGATGACCTTTCCTATCTTTTGGTGGTGGATGAGTAGGGGGCTTATGGAAAGGTAGTTCAAAAATTAAGGGGAAGTGTGCAATTCTTACGTTAAATGTGTTACCTGGGACCTTCTTGAGCCTGATTTCTTCCTCTAATTGCTCAAGTCTAAGTTGTAGAGGCAGAAGCTGCCTTTGAAGGATTCTTTATTCATTTTTAATAGTGCTCAATGAGGCCTGCTTCCTATCCTTTTCCTACCTATGCCGCCCCTGTCCTCACAGTACTCTACTATTGCCAGAGGGATTTTAAATCATGAGAAATGAAGTCCCTTGGTTATTTTTTTTTTTTTTTAGTCACTTCCACCATTGTCTAGTGGAGTAGCATGGCCACATTTGTAGTGCGGACAGGAGAGCCCTAATTAATTTCTTATGTCTGCACTGGATGGAAGATGATGCCAAATAGACATCAACATCAGAGATGATCTTTTACAAACATAGCTCCTTTTTATTTGCTCTTAATTAATATTAAATGTCAGAGCTTGCTATTGGGACTGTAATGAGCTGCCATGTGGTGGGAGCAGTGTTATTAGTATTAGTGTCAACAGCCAACATTCACTGTGTACTCTGTTCTAATGTTTGCATGTGTCCTACACATTTATCAATTTATTTAATTCAACAAACATATGAGGTAGGAAACCACTGTCATCTTCACTGTGTAGGGGAGGAAATGGGTCAGAGTAAGCCCTGGCCAGGGCCAGCCAGCTCATCCCGGGGGAGTTGGGCAAGTGACGTGGAACCCTGAGCTGTGCCTCTGTCCACCCCTGCAGGTGTTCATGTTGGACACCCAGTGCTCGCCCAAGACTCCAAACAACTTTGACCACGCCCAGTCCTGCCAGCTCATCATCGAGCTGCCTCCCGACGAGAAACCGAACGGACACAGCAAGAAGAGGTGAGCAGCACTTAGAGCATGCATGTGTTCCCATCTCTTGCTCATTTTCAGCGAGCTTCGGCCAGGAAGACTGAAAACCTTTGTGGAGTCATTTAGTGAAGGTTATCGTAGACATGGTTCACCTTTTAACTAAATTTCCGTACTATGCATTTCATGTATATCCAGTTGGTTGAGCTGCCTTAACACATTGCACACTGCGGGTGACTTAAACAGCAGAAATTTGCTTCCTCGTGGTTCGGAAGCCTGGAGGAGTTAAGAGGCTTTCTTATGAGGTTTTCTATTGACTTATTGATGGCCATCTTTTCTGTGTCCTCACATGGCCATTCCTCTTCATGTCTCCCGGTCCACATTTCCTCCTAGACTGAGATTCACCCTAATGACTTCATTTTGACTTAATTACCTCCTTAAAAATTGCCCAATGAGCAGGGTGCGGTGATGCACACCTATAATCCCAGAACTCCAGAGGCTGAGGCAGGAGGATTGCTGTGAGTTCGAGGCCAGCCAGCCTGGATTATATAGCGACACCCTATCTCAAAAAACAAAAAAAGACCTCTGTCCAAATACAATCTGAGGTCCTAGCATTTAGGACTTCAACATATGAATTTGGAGGAGTCACAGTGCTGCCCCTGCGATCATACATATCTTGAATTATTTCAATGAGAAATACATAATACTCTTGTCAGGAGATGAAAAGATTTGTGCGAACAAGTTTCATTCCAGGAGAATTGTTCATAAGTCAGATTCATTCATAAACCAACAAAGTGAATCTTATACAGTACACCTATGAAAGTTTGCAACTCAAAAGTTTGTAGGCAGGGACTTACTGTACTATCATCTTGTCTAAAAAATGTTGTTCCTAGAGTGGGTGTTGGAAGCAGTGACTGGCATTCCCCATTGTAAACTTCTGGCCCGCTAGCAGTAGTAACGATAGTGATAAGTTCTAATCCGCACCTCTGCTGTGATGGTAATAGGAGGTGTGGAGCCTTTGGGAGGAAGTTAGGTCATGAGAGTGGAACCCTCGTGAATGGGATTAGTGCCATGGAAAGAAGAGCCCGGAGAGTCCCCTGCCCTCTTTCTGCCATCAGAGGACAGAGTAAGAAGTCAGCTGTCACTGGAATCCCACCATACCAGCCTCCAGAACTATAAATAGTCAGTCTCTTTGTTCATAAGCCACACAGTCTATAGTATTTTGTTATAGCAATGTGAGCTAAGAAAGTCGTTACTTCAGTCCAACAGCCGCTTTGGAGAGCAGTTTGATTAATATAAGCTGTTGACTAAAAAAATTAATACCTGAAAATTTCACTCAAGTGTTTGGTACATACAAGAGAATATGTGGAAGGTTAAAAAGTTGTGAAGCATCAGTAGAAGTTAAATTTTCAAAATAGAGCTTTACCAATATCTCATGTGCTCTTCCAGCCTCTGCTTCCCTCAGTGTCCACCACTAATTTTTACAAACCAAAGATTGTGTAATCATTTCACATCTTTAAACATTGATCTGTTTGGAATTTCAGTTCTTTTCCTACCTCTTTTTAATTTTTTTATTTTCAGGAAGGGTCTTACTAAATAGCCCAGGCTGGGCTTAAACTTGTAATCCTCCTGCCTCAGCCTCCTGCATGCTAGAATTACAGGCATACGCCATCATTCTTGGCTTCTTGTTCTACTTCTTGTTCTCTTTCTATATTTCTGATTTCTATTCATCCAATTCTTCTTGTGAAATATTTTCAAAGTAAAAGTAGAAAAAAGAAATAATGGGCTGGATTCAATCAAAACCAGGCCTCTTGCATGTTAGGTAAGTGTTCTCCTGCTGAACTAACCCCAAACCTGCGGAATTCAATGTATAAATAAAACAGAGGATAAATAGAATAACCTAAGCATAACCTAATATTCTTATGGTTTAAAAGATTTTTTTAAGATTTTAAAATACATCAACACGTGGCATAAACTTAGCACTTTAAGAACTATTTACATACTCACCGTTGTTAGGTAAAACACAAAACCACATTAAATTCCTTAGTGAGGTCCACTGGCCACTGAGCCAAAAGACATTCCATTCCATTTTGTAAGCGGACTCAGCCCTGCTCTTGTTAACAGAGGCAATGTGTAGTTTGGTGTTTGGTCAAGTGAATCTCTAAAGGGCTATATTGAAACTTTCCATGGGAAAAAGACCTAACATAAAACCAGATTGCAGCACTTAAAGAGAAATGTGGGGTTTTCAATAGTTTTGACATTGATAGCCCCACACTACTATCTTAATTACATCTTTAAGATACTCTTTACCCTGTAGATCTATTTATTGCTGATACTTACATTAGTGTGTTTTAAGTTAACCACTTGCTATGCAATTAATTTCCAAAGTCCAATCAAAAGGCTGGCATGGCTTTTGATCAGAAGCAAGGATGTAGTTTACAGTTCCCTTCTGAAAAGTATGCTGAGAAGGTTAAAACTCAGATACAACGAATTGGAAAACATGTTGAAATACTTGAGTACACTGAATTGGAACATTATTTGACTTTGTTTGAGCTCTTTTCTATCTCATCAGCATAGATAATTGAAAGTTATGTGCCAAATCATTTCACTTTTTCCATAATTTCCTGAAATTTTGATCTCTTCAATATTGCTTCCTCTTTCCCTTTGTTCTCCTGTTGTGCATCATTTAGCTGGACCTAAATAAAGGAGATTTTCTGTTCTAATTTACCTGCACGGTTAGCAGCTAAATCCTAAGGCATCAAAGAGAAGATGATGGTTGAGAAAGACACCCCACAACTCAAAGATGGCTTTTTATCCACCTTGCTTTGGGGGCTTGCTGGAAAGGGACTTTCAATTTCTCAGGGAAGGAACAGAAAATACCCTGGTGGGCTAAGGGCTTTCTCCCTTCAGAGGGCCGATCAAACACCCTGCTCCAGGGCTCCAGAATGTCAGAGCCATTCCTCAGGCTGAGCACTTCCTCCTGGCAGTGGTCTGTCTAGGTGGCCTGCTCCAGAACAGGTCTGCTGCTGTTTGGTCTTTTGTGGAGACTTCCTGAGTGCCACTCTCCCCAGACATTTCCTCCAGCACTTGGGCCAAGAAGATAAACAAGTTACTGCCCTGTCCACGAAGACATCGGTGTGTAGTGGGGATAATGGGCCAGTGAACAGACCTGTGTGACCAATGAAGGATTCCCCTCTTAGTTAGGGTTCTGTAGTTATGAACTGGAAGTACTAAGCCAAACTAGTAGCTTTTGGAGCCCTCTTCTTCAAGAGAATTCATATTCCAGTTTCCTAATGCCTTAAGTATGTTTGTTTATTTTGCAGTACTCCAGGGCCTTTGCACTGAGCTCCACTACCAGCCTATTTTTTAATTTTTTATTTTGAGCAGGGTCTCACTAAGTTGCCCAAACTGGTCTTGAACTTGCAACCCTCCTGTGTCGGCCCCCAGATTGTTAGGATTAAAGACCCTCACCACCAAGCCCAGCTGTGAATGCCTTAAACAACTTATCAAAAGTTGCTTGCATAGGAACTGAAGGGAAGAGAAAATAGGTACAGAGTTTCTGTTGGGGAGATGGCCACATTCTAGCAATAGTGGCAATGGTTACACAACGTTATGTTTAATCTCACTTGAATTGTATACTTTAAAATAGTAAAATTATATATATATTTTTTACTACAAGTTATTTTATTTTTGAATTTGTTTTCCAGTATGGGGGATCAAACTCAGGACCTTGCTATTGCAAGACAGGTGTGGTGCTGCTGAGCTAAATCCCTGGCCCTTAACTCATTTATTCTTTTAAAGGTTACTGGTTTTGAATGCCAGCCCTTTATTACTCTTCTTTGCGGAGACTAATGTGCTTTCCCTCAGTGACAACTACATAGAGGGCAAATTGGCTTTTAGATTTATGGAAGGATTTTAATTTTGTTAGGTAAAAAGTACTTTTTATACTAATTGTAAAAATTGTTAAATTCAAGGTCATAGATAAGAATAAATCAAAAAGTTATTATTAGTTGGACCTTTTAAATCAATGTTAGTAAGAGTTGCCATGATTATCTAGATACAGGAATTCATTGGCAGTATAATGACATAAGCTAGTTTTACAAAATTCTAAGAACAATGAAAAGAACATGAAACCACAAACCCAAAACATTGGTGAATTAAAATGTTTGGAAAGTGTAGCATCTAGAATTGAAATTGTCTTCTTAGTACAAGAATCAACCAAACAAAAGGGGCTGAATCACCAAGTTGCATCTGAAGCTCCCCAGTCTGGGTTGTGTCCTGCTCGGAGGGAAGTTGTCGTGAGCAAGTTGGGGCTGCTCCTCAGCCAGGTGGCTGAGCCTGAGGTCCTGGGGGGACTGTTGTTCTCCCATCCCCCCTTCCTACATAGCTGGCCCCAGGAGCCCATGGCCATGTCTGCAGACAGGGAATTGGAGCATGAGTCAGGGCTGCTTTCTCCCTCCCTATGTTTTCAGAAGGCTATGGTTTACACTGTCGGTTTATTTCCTACCATGGCAATGTTAGCCCCCTAAAACCTCCAGCCTTAAAACATCTCAGAGTTTGATTCTCTTCTCTTACACATGCTGCCAAACATTCAGATTTGACATAAATATACCCAAAGCATTAACCCTTAATCCCAGAAAACTGCTTTGCTACCAACACCAGTCTCTAATGACTTCAAAACACTTCAGTGATGGGAAAAGGCTACTTAAAATTGATAGCACTCAGAATTTTTTACTTGAACTTTTATGAACTTTTATTACTCATAACTAGAGAAGAAATAAAATGTGCCATATCTCATAATTGTGCCTATTTTTAAATTTTTTGTAAAGCTTATTTTCCTAAGGCTTGGTGATAATCGTTAATCAAGTAACATAACTTACCTTCTAGAGAACCTGGATTTTAAGAAGTGCTGGCATTCTATTAAGTATAATTAAAATGGAAATTTTCCCTTTTTTAAAAAGAAAGACATTGGAAGAGTGGTTTGTAAGTGTGCAGCTGTTCTGAAATGGATAATCAACCCCTTTTTTTGGCTGGAAGCGTGTCTTTCAGGGAAATCGTGGTGAGCTTGTTGTCGCATCAGGTGCTGCTCCAGAACCTGTACGACATCCTGCTGGAAGAGTTCGTCAAAGGCCCCTCTCCTGGAGAGGAGAAGACGGTGCAGGTGCCAGATGCCAAGCTGGCTGGCTTCCTCAGGTACATCTCCATGCAGAACTTGGCGGTCATCTTTGACCTGCTGCTGGACTCGTACCGGACGGCCAGAGAGTTTGACACCAGCCCAGGGCTGAAATGCCTGCTGAAGAAGGTGTCGGGCATCGGGGGCACCGCCAACCTCTACCGCCAGTCTGCCATGAGCTTCAACATTTACTTCCATGCACTGGTTTGCGCCGTGCTCACCAACCAAGAAGCCATCACTGCTGAGCAAGTGAAGAAGGTCCTTTTTGAGGATGATGAGAGAAGCACAGATTCCTCCCAGCAGTGCTCATCAGAGGATGAAGACATCTTTGAGGAGACGGCCCAGGTGAGCCCCCCACGAGGCAAGGAGAAGAGGCAGTGGAGGGCGCGGATGCCCTCGCTCAGCGCGCAGCCCGTCAGCAACGCCGACTGGGTGTGGCTGGTCAAGCGGCTGCACAAACTGTGCATGGAGCTGTGCAACAACTACATCCAGATGCACCTGGACCTGGAGAGCGGCGTGGAGGAGCCGCCGGTCCTCAGGAGCGACCCGTTCTTCATCCTCCCCTCCTTCCAGTCCGAGTCGTCCACCCCGTCCACTGGTGGCTTCTCTGGGAAAGATACACCTTCCGAGGACGACCGGAGTCAGGGCCGAGAGCACCTGGGCGAGTGTCTGGGCCTGCGGGTGGGCAGCGGGGATGTGCTGATGCTGCCCCCCAGCCCCAAGGTGGAGAGGAAGGATGCCAGCCGGAAGAAAGAGTGGTGGGAGAATGCGGGCAACAAGATCTACACCATGGCGGCTGACAAGACCATCACAAAGCTGATGACTGAGTATAAAAAGAGGAAGCAGCAGCACAACCTGCCCACCTTCCCCAAGGAGGTTAAAGTGGATAAGAAGGGCGAGCCACTAGGGCCTAGGGGGCCGGACTCCCCGCTGCTTCAGCGTCCCCAGCACCTGATAGACCAGGGGCAAATGCGCCACTCCTTCAGTGCTGGCCCCGAGCTGCTGCGACAGGACAAGAGGCCACGCTCAGGCTCCACGGGGAGCTCTCTGAGTGTCTCCGTGAGGGATGCTGAAGCACAGATTCAGGTACCTCTGAGGATGCAGGAGGGAGGCTGGGTACCAGATACCCGAGGGGTCCCCTTGCAGGGCATGCATAGACCCTAAGGTGTGCTAGAAACCAGTGGAGGATGTAAACCAAGCTACCTTCAAAGTGAGAAGGCTGCCTGAGCCTAAAATGAAAGCTCTGCTTATATCTATACATCTGTGTGAAACTAAAATTTTATCCTCAGGTAACTTCAGAAACTATTTTTCTATATTGTAATACATAAAGAATTAGAAGCCCATGTATTTAAGACAAACCTGAAGCCTATAATTGGCATTGAGTCCTTGGCTTGTCATTTAAAGATAGCACTGAAGAAATTCTATTGTTCTGAAGCATTACATAAAGGAAAAAGGCAAAGTGAATATTATTTTGTGGGTAGACTGACAACTTGTTCTCAGCTCCAATCTTTTGGACCCATCCTAAGCACATGAAAATTCTTCTTCAGCAAGTGTGGAATGTGCCTATTTATCACAGTTGTAGTATTTGTAGTTCTATGGTACATCAAAAATGAGTTCAAGAGGAAAACAGCATTGATAATGTTCAGTTTGAGAAGAGATGGGAAAACAGAAAATGAAGGATCTAGAGAAAGTTCTTTAAAAAATAATCTGAATGAGTATGTTGAATTGTAGATTTCTGTCACAGGAATAACACATAAAAAGATCTGGAACCCTGGGTTGCTATGAACCTATCCAATAATGTATTGTTAGAATGAACATAAATTTGGAATTAGCATGAATCTGTCAAGATGCCTTATTTTCCTTGAAAGCACCTTGAACATCGATGTAGACTTCATAATACAGAATCTGTAAGAATTATTCTTTATGGTTAGGCAAGACACTCTTTTGCTAAAGAATATGTCTTAATTGCTTTTTCATGCGTTGAGGTTTTGCTTAATGGTTTTAAAAGTTACCCTAAATTAAGGCACAACTATTCCCAAAAATTTAGGTATTTTAAGACTGCTGGAATATCAATTCGTCTATGGAAATTTCCTTATGAGGAAGTAAGAGCTTTTCAAATCTAAAAAATAAATAAGACTGTAGTTTACAAAAGCTAAAACTAAGATATCCTTAATGTTATGAGTCTCTGACTATCTTATATGTGAAGTTAAAACCACAGTTAGTTAGAGGCACATTAAATTATAAAGACTAGTTTATTATAGCTAAGGCCTGTGAAACATTTGCAGTTTGGCAGGGCTTAACCACACCAACAAATGAAATCATGAGACAGCCAAATAATTCTCCTAAATCCTCTCTCTTAGGCATGGACCAACATGGTGCTAACAGTCCTCAACCAGATTCAGATCCTCCCAGATCAGACCTTCACGGCCCTCCAGCCTGCAGTGTTCCCATGCATCAGCCAGCTGACCTGTCACGTGACTGACATCAGAGTTCGCCAGGCCGTGCGAGAATGGTTGGGCAGAGTGGGCCGTGTCTATGACATCATTGTGTAGAAGACTTGAGTTCCATCTCCAAGGATGTACAATAGCAAGGTTAGAGTCTGCCCGCTAATCTAACTGATAGCATTTTCCCCACCACCAGCTCCGTGTAAAGTAGGTCTCAGAGAGCAGTGTTCCCTAAGGTAAAAAAGCCTTTCCAACCACTCCCTAATGAATCAGCCTTGGGCCATCCTGGATACCAAGGTGGCATCTGGATGACACAAGTGATCTTCTGATTTTGCACACTATTACAGAAGATTCTATGTTCTTTGATATATTTCTAAATCTTGTTTATTTCCAAGTGCTTTTGCTTGCCCTGTTGTACCGAAATGGATCATTTTCAAAGACCATGCCTTTGAAAACACTACATAGATCCATTGGAGTCATCATTTTAAAAGTAAATGCAATTCCTAAGGAACTAATTGCTGGTAAGTCAAGCTGATGTATAAATACTCATATCTCGTACCAAACATTATTAATTAGAAGGAAGTTTATATTATGATTATGGATTTGGCTGGGAAGAAAATAGCTACAAAAAGGTATTTTTCAGTGCCACAATCAAGAAAGAGATGATTTCTGCTGTGAAATATTCCAGAGCATTTCAACATTATTCCTAAATTGTTAAGATTTTCAGGTTACTATTCGCTAGCTTCCCCTGTGTAAGGTACTGTTGTGCCTTTATTTCTGCTTCTAAAGAAAGAAATTCTTTCCTAGCAGGATTGTAAGTCTGCTTTGGCAGCCTTTAACATGAAGGATCCCGTGGTACTGGCTGATGCATCTATTGTTAAGAGACAACAAGGAAAGGAAAGAAAATGGTGCCTTAGTCCTTTGTTGCGCAGACATTTCTATGCCCCACGACTATCTGAACTTAAGGTATAACACTCGGTTTTTAGGAGAACCAAATATTAAGATGGTACTCATTTTATATCAGTATGCTTGGAGGAAAGGCACTCAAAGTCCTCCATCCAGTGAGCAGACTTCTCAGGGAAGCGGGCAGGCAGTGTGGGATAGGGAGACAGCTGGAAGGGGTGGGAAAGGGGATTGTCATGAAACACGATGCAACAAACATGAAATCAGAAACAAGTTCTAATCTCAGAAGAAAACAAGACTAAAGAACAGAGACAATGAGTTTTAGAAAATTATTTTTTGCTATTTCAAATATGTCTCTTTATGTTTAAAGTCCTTTTATTTGGACCAGTATTTTTAAGTGGATATATCTTTCCCTATTATAAAATGAATTTGAAACCTTTCTTTTCTTATACTATGTGTGTATATGCAGACACACACTTTTTTGTATCAGGCTGGGGATTGAACCCAAGGCCTCACTCAGGCTAAGCACACAGTCTACCACTGAGCTACATCCCCAGTTCTTACTATAATGTATTTTATATTTCTTACATTATAATAATGATTGGGCCTTCTCAGGCAAGCCCATTTATATACATTCTAGGAAATAGAGTAGTTGCTAAAGCATACATGGTAATTTCCCAGCACCTACAAATGTCATCCTTTAAAAATAAAAACAAAACATCAGTTCTTCAGTATTGAAACAAGGCTTTGAAATAGATTAAGCTTTATCCAGTGATAGTATTCATAAACTTAGCCCTACTTGAGAACTGTGTAGCTATCAGCAAAGTTAGAGCAGGGCAAGCTTCTCTAAGTTGATCAAAAAGAAAATCTTATTTTTGGGGGGGAGTACCGGGGATCGAACTCGGGACCTTGCGCTTGTGAGGCAGGCAGCGGAACCACTGAGCTAAATCCCCGGCCCAAGAAAATCTTATTTACTACACTTCTAGAAACACCCCCAAATCCAGAGATTTTTCTAGTCCCATAAATCATTCTCTTTGCCTTCAGTTTTTTCTCATTAGACAGTAATTCACATTTACAAACAGATCAACTGTTTTTAATAGAAAATACATTAATGAGATATTAAAGAGCTGTGTTCTTATATATAACTTTTGAATTTGTGTACTTTGTGAAACTCAAAGGAGTACACCATGGTTGTTTTGTTTCTTTTTAGCTTCTCTGAAGCCCAGGCACTCCACAGTTTATGGGTGGGGGTCAACAAACCAGAGTACAGAAGTAGAGTACTTACAAAATTCTTATACGTAGCAACCTTTCATAAAGTATACAAATCCAAAGGAACCCAGTCTCAGGGTATAGGTTTCAGTTCATTGTGCAGAAATGAGAATTCATTCTCCCACATAGTCTCTGTCATGGACTCTAAAACTAGCTAATGCACATCAGTTTCTCCATGGTATGTCCAAACTCTGTTCTGTACTCGCCCGGTTACAGGCCCCGAGGATAAAAAGATGAAGACATGTACCCAGATCCCGACCTACAGTTTTGTAAAAGGTTTTGGGTGCCTTCCCATCTTGTTGACAGCCCACTCATTACGAGTCCCACAGCACTCTGATGCCCACCTCCATGCCTAATGACCTCTGAGCTCCACCCCTACCCGATGTCCATGTCCATGTCCATATCCAGATTCACCTGGTAAAGTAGTTAAATCACGGCCACACCTTCCTGGGATATTTGCAGTTTTCAAAAAAGACATTGCTTGATGCAAAGGAGTCTGTAAAGAGTAGGCCGTAAAGCCGGGCATAGTGTTGCTTGCCTGTAATCCCAGCACTCTGGGAGGCCAAGGCAAGAGGCTTCCGAGTCTGAGGCCAGCCTAGGCAATTTAGCAAGAAAATGCCCCCAAATTTAAAAAAAAAAAAAAAAGGCTGGGGATATAGCTTGGTGCAAAGACCCTGGGTTCAATCCCCATAACTGGAAAAAATAGAAAGAGTGGGACTTCCACTGACTCTTTAGGGGAAAGGGTGGTAATTTGTAACATGTGGTAGACAGTGTCCCCTCCAAGTGTGAAAGTCCTCCACACTGTATTTTGGTAAAATATGCTTCATACAACAAGCATGAAAGCTCCGAGTGTAAGACTCCCTGCCTGAGCAGCCCAGCCAAGGCCATGCACTCTTGGCAGAGCTCTCCCTGCCATGAGGAAGGGTGCAGGTTTGGACAGTGGAGGGCTAAGAAATTCTTCACGGAGCTTTGCCTGGCTTCTTTGTCTCCCAGTTGGCTTTTAAAGCTGATCGGGCTGCCTCTGCACACCGTCTTACTATCCTTCTCCCTTCTTACGTTTTAGCCTTCTGCACAGACAGAACGAGAACATCTTTTCCCAATTTTAGGCTATTTAATGATGACCAATAAGGACCCAGGCAGATGCTAACATGTAAAACAGCTCAGATTAAAGTATTTTAAGTCAAACGTGACAATAATATTAATCCAATTCAAAAGTACCTTTGACTCGAGACATGCTGGTGTGATGACTGCCAGACTTTCCGTCCTTGGTGTCCTTAGAAGGCGTACACAGAGTCACGGGAGGGAGTGAAACTGCCTTTACTGTGGGAAGGCAGTGCAGCTACATAACAGACATCTCGGCCTCCCCAGCCCACCACAGTACTGCTTACATTGAGGAACATTTTCTTTCTCGGGAAGGAAAATTCAGCAAGGTCACTCCCATCAAAGCAGAATGAAGACCTGATAACAGCAAGCTGTGACAAACAGCGTGTCCCGAAGTGTAGACCCTCACCTATATCATATTTAGTTTTTACAGTGACTTTGGGAAACACCTCTCGTGTTTCTCATTTTTTCAGATGAGAACACAGACCCGGAGAGGTTCAGGCATTTGCCTAAGATCACAAGTAAAAGGCAAAGCTGGTTGCACAAGAAGTGTTGCTGGACCAAAGGCAAGACTTTCTCTAACCCAAGATCTAAGTGCACAGAGTATGAATGTAAGAGAAAGAATCTCTCAAGGAAGTAGACAGTGAAAATAACATTTGCTTGATCTGAGTTATGTGGAGTTTTTAAAAAATAAGATTAAAAATGTATCTGCACATAGAAAGTCATATACAACACATTCTCAGTATTTGAAAATAAAGGACATTAAAATCTAAATTTTAACCATAAGGGAAGCATTTAGTGTTACTTTAGAAAATTCACTGATGACAGAATACTACTATTCATGGCCAGCTATGAATGCAGAAAAACAGGGCAGTCTGTGTCTGGAATGGCATGCATAATTTGTAAACCTTTCCAAACACTAATAAAACATTAATCAACTCAGAATGCAGTGCTCTGTACCCAACAGTGCCTCTTTACTTGCTTCTCTGGGAAGTGCTAAATTTGTAGGTCATCATCAAAGTTTGGGGATATGCAATATAAATAACCATTTTTTTCAAAATGCACATTCTGTGGAGAGGAAGTGACAAGGTGGTCAAGATTGTTTCAAGATCCAGGTACTGACGGCATCAGGACAATATCCATAGCACCCATGTGCCATAATACTGCAACATTTCCAGAGGCTCTGCACACAAGGAAACCAACCCCCGAGTCCCGCAGTGACTGCAGACAAACCTTACATGTGCTTGGGTACCACTTGGGTCAGCCCAGCAAGATCTCATGTGGCCTTAGAGAAGCAAAAAGAACATTTTCCAGCACTTTTTATTGAAAACATAATCTTGATATTGGGAAGGATTTATAATGTTAAAAACTTGATTTGTGCACTGGGAATGTAGCTCATTATCACTGAGTACTTGCCTAACATGCATGAGGCCCTGGGTTCAATCCCCAGTACTGCAAAAAGAAAAAAAAGATTTATAATTATATCATCTCAAAAGAAAACTGTTCTCTTTATTCACTAGTGGAGCAATCTAGAAAAATCCATTTGTTTGGGAGCTCACCTTCCTCTGGCCATAGTATAGTGTTTGTGCTTAATGTAGATGTAACTAATAACCACATTAAGATTTTGGAATAGAATACCATTTAAATTTCCAAAACATAAATATATTACTTTAGGGAAGACAAATAAAAACCACCCCATGATTGTCTAGAAGAAAATTCAGTTGAGAATATTGCTCAAAATCTTTACAAACAGTATCACTGCTTATAAATTGAAGATAAACCACTACCACACCACGAGCACCCTACAAAACCTTTTCCCTATATCTTTGTGTAGTAATGTAAAGTTTCCAGGGACCAGCTGACCATCTTAGTGACAAAAGTGCGCTCAACTCCTGGTGGGTCCCACTCATCCTCCTTTCAACCACAAAAATCAATTGCACTGTTAGTTCTTGTCCTGTTAGTTTAACCAGTGGTTGTCTAGTTTCTTTGGTCTTAAAACAGTGGATTCTTAAAACAGTGGATTCTCAAGCTTTAGCACGTATCAGAATCACCTGGGGTGGGGGTATTAAAACAGACTGCTGGGGTCATGCCCAGGGTTTCTGATTTTATAGACCTGGAAATTTGCATTTTTAACAAGTTTTCAGATGAGGCCAGTGCTGCTGCTGTGGAAATCAGTCTTTGAGAACCACTCCCTTTGAAAAATGTCCAGCTTCTACCTTTCAGATCAGCCTGACTTATCAAGCACTAGAGAAAAACTGAACTTGCCCTGGGGCAGACAATTTGAGATTGGATTACCTGTAACATTCCTGTTCGATCTTCCCAGTGTCCAGTTTTATTGTATAAACGATGGGTTTTTACATGCTAGAAGACAATGAATGTATAAGTTCTATGGAACAGTGAGATAAGTCTAAGCTTCTCGTCTTTGTATTTAGAAACATTGATTCTATAAATGATTGTATCATGTTGACCCTTTGACTTGTACCGAAGGTGATTTTAAATTAGGTATGTAGTGTTTGCATTTCTTTCCATATAGTTTTAATGAGACACTTCATGTTGGCTCCATTCAGCCTTGGCTCCTGGCTTACTACAAAGGTTTTTGAGTAGTTGCTTGCTTGCCAGCTGTTGTTCATCTCACATTGGTCACTGAAATATCAGCATTTCAAGACATTATGACACTACTTGCTGTACTTTCATCTTTCACTTAACTGTCTGGTGTAAATTAGTGTTTTACTTTCACATATATCTGTAAAGAGTCTACCAAATGGCTTCATGGAAATTTGCAAAATGAACCAACTCCCTTTTGAGTAGTAGATATGCCTGTTTTGACTTTTTGGTAAACATGTTGTATTTGTGCACAAATATGCACAATGGAGACTATATTTATTCTCTCATCTTCCAAATGATGGGGAAAATGCAAAAGTGAATCGATGTACTTTTGGAAAACAGTGAGATTCTATTAACTCAAGTACAGATGGGGCCTTAGTTTATCTTTTAACTCTTTATTCAATTAATTAGCTCTGGAAATTATCTTTCCATTAAAAAATAAGGACCACAGCAGGATTTATTCAAGAGGAAAAAAAAAAGTTTCTTTAAATCATCACCTACTTATAAACTATATTAATCACATATAATTCTTATTGACTCTATCAATAAAGTTTTTCTAAAGATTTCTGCTTAGTAAATAGCCTGATCTCATTTAAGTTAGCTTAGACTACTGTATAAATAGAATGTAATAATTTTAGGCACTAGAATTAGTGAGTTCAGAAAGCATATTAGTGTTAATGGTATCAAGGATTCAAGTCCTTGCCTGTATGAATGGAAGTAATTGAAGATATTTTTCGTTCCCATGCGTCTCATAATCCTTTTTAAATGATGGCTCTAGTTCTTTTAATAACTGGTTCTAAGATTAAATTTTTAAAAATCAATCTCTAGGAATAGTTTATTTTCAAAGTGTTTTACCAATTGGTGCCAAAAAGGCAAGGGTGGAATGTAAAAGCCAGTCTTTCGAACTAACATGTAAAATGTTAGTTTTTCTCTTAAAGTGAGGGAGGCCCAGCCCCCATACTGCCGGCCCCTAGGGATCATCTACGGCTACCTCATGATCACATGCGAGCTACTTGGTTTTGCTCTCTCTGTAGTGCTTTCATCTGGTTCTTGTTGGAAGTGCTTCTGATTAAAAACTGGTTTCCCACTAAGCAGGCAAAACTGGAGAAGATGACTGCTTCTGGTCGTTCTGGTTTTGCTTCCATTGAAACCAGGTGGTAGAATATCCAGGTATGGCATGATGGGGCAGGAGGAGGTGCCTCGAGGGAAAGGTTATCTTTGTTTCTTGGTTTACGTTGGGGGGGAGCTACAAAGAATATGTTCATTGCCCTAATCATGCCAAAAGACCATTATTCGAGATGCTTCTCCTGCTTTTCTAAGAGGAATAAACTGAAATTACATCCTAAACAGTCCCCTACTCCCATCTCACATTCTAGACAAAGCCAGTGGGTGGTATGGGTCCTTTTATCCTTTCTTGTATTATACCAAAGAATTAACTTCTTTTCATTAAAAATTATCAGTGAAGCTTGGTACAGCTATAATGATTTGCATCCGTATACCATTTTACATATAAAATGCAAAATTCACCCTTGCAACCCCATTCACCAGGAGCCTTGAAGCATTGTTTACTCCAAAGGCCTTGTCAAGGAAGTATAATTTTTGTTTTGCCTTCTTAGTTTGGTCACATTTACATACAAAACCAACCCCTGAAAACTACCCTTCTTTATATGTTGATATAACTGTTTGATTTGATATAATCTGTCTGTTCATTGTTTACTAGGTCTCTGTAAGCAAGCCTGCAAGTGTATTTTGTGTATATTTTATCTGAGGTGAAAAATGAAGATTCTAAAGAGAAAATATTTTAAAAGATACTGTATTTATGTTGCTTGTGTTGTAGAATAAAGATTCAAATGCATTAAAAATCTGATCTGTGAAAGTTTTCTTAACTGAATAAATATATCAAAATAATTTATGAAAATAGCTTATGTTTAGAGAATTCTGCCAAAAGAAACTCTGAATGTAAAAGGTCCTTTCCAATCCTGTAAGATACAGATTTTCACTACTAACCATTTTGTATATGCCTAGAAAATCAAATTTGCAGAAATGTATACCATTGTCTCTCATACACCTTCTTTAAAGGGGGCTTTTATAATTTTTCCATAAAAATGATATCAGATTCATTATCAGTAGGTAGTATAGTTCATTCATTTAAAAATATTAGAATATTACCTTTTATTTATAAACAACTAAATCCCTCAGTTAACAGCAGGAATATTTTCCAAGTAGTACTGAAAGAAATGTAGCCACTTCTCATGATCTTACTGGGTTGTGTTTGAGAAACTTGTAATAGAACCCAAGGAATGACCATGACCACTACATGCAAAATGCACCATTGAGGAGGAAAAAATACAAAATGCTGTGAAAATGGAATTTGTGCTTATAACCTTAACTCACGAGTCTGTTGTGTAGTCCAGCTAACTCACAAATGTACCACTGAGACTCAGTCACTTCTGGTTCGATCCCCTACCACCTCTAGAAGGAGAAAGAAGAAGAAAGAAGAGGAAGAAGAAGGGGAAGGGGGGAGGGAAGAGTAAACTCAATCACATATAAGGATGAAATAAAACTATACTGAGACAGGAGGTAGGGTGTGGCACAGCTGGCTGGGGTAATAAGTGGGACCTGTTAACTACAAGATCCCAGGACTTCCAAATAATTCCCAGGACCCCCTATGTAGAACTTCTTGCAGGCTCCCATGAGATACGGATGGCATAAAAGATGCCATAAGGAGCCCACTCCGTCACTCTTCATGGTAGCACCCACTGTGCCTTCCAGAAGCAGGGTATAAAAGGGTATACTTTTATTTTTGCTTTTATCCTTTCCTCTCTTTTGTTTGGCTCAAGTTAGCTCTGCAGGACCAGTTTCTCATTTACACTTTCACCCTTCACTTTTCAAATTAACTTTTGGCACCATTTTTCGCTTCTCGTTCATTTCTTTGAGGCAAGAAGGACCTGGATACATTTAACTGGGGAGCCATTTCTGAAGGAACTACCTATTAATAATACTTTGCATGTGAATGTCACAAACCAGGAATGGAGAAGGCTCTGCCATGGGAGAGTGGAGAGGGCCTTGGGCCTTAGCCACAAAAGCAGATTTCACAACCCAAGCATTGTCCCTTCCTAGAAGTGGGAAACATGGACACCACTTGCCTACTCAGAGCAGAAGTGTCCAGCTCTGTAAAAGGAAGACAACCTTTGCTCAAAGGGTGGTTTTCAAATAAAATGAAAGCTCAGTGTGGCAGGAACTAGCCCCAGTTTGGCAAGTTGACATATTTTGAGATCCCATTGAATGTATCCTTGACATTTGTACCATGAATGTGCTCCAACACAGCTTAGCAGTTTATGCCTCTGATTTGAGGAGGTCAGCAGCTCAGGAGCAAAGCTCTTTAATCATTCTAGAACTAAATGCTAGGACTGTGGCCAATGCTTCAATTATTAACATCCAGCAATGAATATACCCTGTGCATAAATCTCGCTAAGTTTCTTTAGAGCAGAGACTTCTATGCTTCAACTCTCTGGCTTATGATCAAAACTTACATTACAATTTAGCTTTCATAAATATTGCACATCACTCATTAGAAAGCATCCTTTCCCATCCGGCTTTGGGTAGGCTCAATAAGCAAGCAAAAATAAAATCGAAGCCTAATGCAATGCTGTGGTTTTCACATTCTGACCAAAATTCTTGTTGTCTCAAGCCTTGAAAGAGCACTTTTAGCATGTTTTTATCTTCCCCTTGTTTGTTTTTATTTATAGAGTTCTAGTTACAACATCAAGTCATTCCTGCCTTGAATCTGCCCTGTTAACCTAGTCTGGCTGCACAAAATGTTTTGTTGTCAGAGAAACAAACCATCCAGTTTAATGATCTCATTCAAACTCAGAGATTGTCAGAGCACAGTAAAATCCCAGAGAAGTTTATAAGCAGATTCTAAATCATTTTTTAAAGTCCTAGAAATTAAAAGTTTCTATTCTGACACAAAGGATCAAATGCACAATAGTTCAGCACTGAGAACTCAAATACTAAACTTTGATTTGTTCTGCTATGGTTTCCTGTCCTCCTTTATATCAGCATGTTATTCATTATACTGAACTAGTGCTGTAACCAGTTCAAATAATGCAAGGAAATAAGGCAACATTCTCCAGCAGAAAATGAATTAGATTCTAAATGTTGTGATGCAAAAGGCTTCATTTATAACTCAACTTGGAAAAAAATGAGAATTGAAGCTAATTTACCAATTATAAAGGATAGCTCATCTATATTAGAGTGAAAAGTTGAATAGCCTGTGGTGGACTTCAATCAACTCCTAGGACAGCCTCAAGTCAGTATATACTTGATGGACTTTTTCTACTCTAATAATGGGTGATAAAAATATTCTTCTAGAGACTAGATTTATTTTTCAAGTAGAAGAAATAGATATTATTATAGATCTCTCACATCAAAACCATGTAAAGTGGACTTCTTTGAAATGAATAACATTTTTGATGTGTGTTCTAAGTACAACCAACTGAAAACATAGGCAAGAATCCATTCATACAGATTTAGAGAGTTAAAATTTAGAGGCCTAAATTGGCCAACTTAACTAGTTCTTACTCCTGATGGGAAAACATGTCTATAAACCTTGGAAATTAGAACAAGATCAGAGACAAAAATACCACCTCTGCTCGGCAGGTCTGCCTCGCCCCACTCTGCCTGGGGCCCACATCTTCAACTCCCCTGTGCCCGTCTCCTTCCCTGCGCCTGTGGCACCCAGGAGCCAACTGGACATAAGCGAACATGATCATGCACTTGTTTCAAAGGCTTCTCCTAAAAGGAGGCACAGGACTTGGTCATGATCAGAACAGCCTGGGTTATATTTTTCATGAAATTGTGGGTTGGTCAAAATTTAGGAATGGATACAGATATGGATTTAAAGAATCCTCATCCATAGATCATAGAGGGATGCTGTCAGCCACCTTTCTTCAATATGTATTTGGCTGAAAGTGTATTTGGCATATTAATCTATGGTTTTCCCTCCGCCATTTTTCTCCATTCCTTTGTCCCTATTTTAAGTAGTTGATTCAGGAGTACATTGTTTCGGGGAAGGTATGTCACGGCGCAGAATGCCCATAACTCATTGTCTGTCCTCTCGTTCTCCTGATCTCCAGTTCTTGAATTCTGAAAACACAAGATATATAGATGTAGATATAGATATTTAGATATATATTGACATATTTATTTATTTTAAACAAACTGCAGGGTGGAAACATGAGAGAAATAATTTCCTTTTCTCTTTGATTAGAACTGAATTACCAGAGAAAAAGTTGTTCAACAGCAAAAAGGATGAAGGTCGGGGAGGACCCTGCATTGCTGATACTGCCCCATCCCAGGGAACTCATCGCTGTGCCGTGCTCCTGGCTAGATGCACGGGGAACAGTCCCAGTCCCTGTAAGTGGCCCAGAAGAGCACAAAGATGTCCTTTCCCTGAAGGCAGGTTCCCTGGATGGGGTACCCCGCCAAGACATAGCCTCTCAGAATTCTGCCTCAACCCATACTGCAGCAATCCCACAAAAACCAACCAAGTGACTATTACCCTTGGCAGAATGGATGCTCAAAACACTTTTAGCTATTACCCTAATATAAAGAAAATTAAAGTTTTGTACACGAAGTTTTAGGCTGAGATTCATATTTATTTTTGTAGAGAATAATCTAAAAATCACTGGAAAACCTTATGTCAGGGTTGTTAAGGAAACAAATGGCAAAAGGAAGAAGGGAAGGAGTGGAACAAAGGGGGAGGAAGAAAGGAGGAGGGAAGGAAGGAAAGAGGTGAAGGCAGGCAGGGTCCTTACACTTGCAGTTATCCCAAGGATGCACCATCCGAGCTGCCAATCAGCAGGACCTCCCAAGTCCAGCTTCAGAGGCCGCCCACCCTCTTTGGGAACAAAGCTGCTTCACTGGATCATCATCTTCCACTGGGGTCCTAAACTCTCAGACCTTCAATTGTGAAAAGTCCGCTATCCTGTACAGTGTAGATTCCACCCCAGGGCAGGGCACCATTTAGGGCAGAAAAACCAGATTTCATGGCCTCCATTCTGCTTGACCTGATAGAACTTAGCCACTCATATCTACTGCCTGCCAGGATGATCACAGCTCCACTTTATGTTTCAGCTGATCAGCAAAAGGCAACTCCATTCTGTGGGAATTATAGCCAAATTCAGCATTAGAACTACATCTACTTCCTTTGTGTGCTCTTCATCAGGACTGGAACAGGACAGTATAACCAGGTTAGGGTGACTCACCCCCTGCTTACCACCCACCTCCCACCACAGCTCACTTATACACCTGAAGTACCTCAAGCCCTCTAGACAATCTCAAACATAATCTCCATAAAAATTAACAGCCATTGTTGAACTTGTAGGCGTCCAGCTCATCATTTTTAAAAATAGAAAAGTTGAATGTTTTATATCAGAATTGGCTCTTTACAGTAAAAAAATAAAGTCTCAATCCATGTAAGTTTTAAAAAATTTTGTCCAAATTAGAATATTTTCAAAAATTACAAAAAGAACACTTAAAGATGAAACAGGTAAATTTCAAATAAATGAATTTCCTATTCAGGTCGGTTCACTATTAATGAATATACCAATCCTTTGGCTGTCTGGAACTAGTTTGGCTGATTATTACTAAGCTAATACTCATTCAAAATATTGACTACCACTACTACTGACAATTTTTCCATAAAACTCTGATTTATAAATTGTTTACCATTGCAATGTTACACTATTAACCAACAGATTATGAAAGGAATTTAGGTACCTTTTACTTATAACACCAATGACAGGTCAACCAGCGTTGATTTTTAATAATTGTTTCTTCGTTCATTCCCTTTATCTTAAGAAT